TGAGATGTGTTTATGTAGTTCTGCACTGTTATCGTTGAAGTTTGGGATTAACAGAAGTCATGTATCCCCATGAAATCTTTCGTTATGTAAACGATGAATTTTTGTTGCAATATATAACAGAAATGGGTACTTCAACTTGCAGTTTATTTGTTTGGCAATATTTATGTTTACATATCTATGGCATAAATGAAAAATTAATATATTTCTATTTGACCATCAAATATTGATATCATAACTTTTTATATGTTAAACCCTAAACGAATATAACAACATTCCTGTAACAAGTCTTTTATTTCATATTCTCACATCTCTAACAAGTAAATATTTTAAAATATAATAATCAATCATATAAATTTATTACATAACTATTAATAACTAATTACCCTAAAATATAATTTATTACATTATTAATACGTTGAAGTTTTACTAATTTATTACAGAATAAATTTTGCTTTTGGAATTTAAAAAATTTCACTGTTACATTCATCTTTTAAACATTTTAACATATGAGAGCAGAATTGTCATTTTTCTAGAAACAGCTGCTCTGCAACTATTGTCACACAGCTACACCAAACAAACAACCAAATTCCCCGCAGCAGCTTTCTAAGTCAGCGCAACTGCAACTGAAAAGCTAGGCAGCGGCAGCTGCGCCAAACAAACCCTTAGAATAGGTCCTCACCTTATTGTCCAACGCCTCTAATAGTCATTAATTAAATCCAAGGGCTGCTGCCATGAAGATGCTAACAGGTGCGTCTTTTAGAAGTCCCTTAACTTCCTCTTTAAGTGAAAAACAAAGCTGGAACCCCATGAGACGCTGATCATACGCTGCAGGTTCATTTCACTTTCCTCCTTTAACTTACTCTCTCCTTATAAATACATCCATATATGTTCTCTGCATATATACATCTCCATCTCTTCAATTAATTACAATTCTTTTTGCTTTTTTGCCAAACTATTATGGATGTGAGAATATTGGGAGTAAGAATGAGCTGTGGATTCATGATTATGGTGCTGCGAGAAATAGTGGAGGCAGCAGAATGAATGAGATCGGAGGGAGAAGAGGGACGCAAGTTTTCATTCCAAAATCAATGGTTCCCAGGTGTTGACGTATTGCAGTTACCCAAATTGATCTTCATGTAGAGACAACTCTTATTTTATTATTTATTGTTTATTATAAATAAGTATTTAAGCTTATTTTTTTATTTTATGTAATATCATAATAGAATATTTTTCTTGTTATTGTTTTTTATTCACAAAGGTGGTAGGAGCTTATTTTGTATACTTTGTGGCTAAGGCTCTGTTTTGCGCAGCTGGAGCTTCTCAGCTTTTCAGCTGCAGCTGTGCTGCCCCAATAAGCTGTTGTGGAGAAGTTGGTTCTCTGTTTGGTGCAGTTGTGTGAAAATAGCTTTGGAAAAATGACCATGCTGCCCTTTTTTGGTAAAATTGTTTAAAACATAACTGTGACAGAGATATTTTTGATACTTTTGAAGCAAAATATCACTTCAAAATAGTTCAAAAATGCATATGCCCAACTAACTTAACAGTGAGTACTGAAAGTGATAAAAAAAGGTAAACAATCACAATTCATGAAAACCATAACCAAATTTCATAAATTATCTTTCCAATAGATGTTTTTTTGATTCATTACATCTTATGTTCATGATATTTTCTCCAATTCATGGCCTAATAACAGAAGTAAATCATACTTTATATGAACAACTTAAAATATGTGAGCACATCTTTAACAAACAAACATTAGTGTATTATATTTGAGAAGTTTCATTAATCATAGTTGACAAAACATCATAATCTATGTTCTCATTTGCAATACTAGTGTGAGGTCAATCCACGAACATCGGGCTTGCATGCAAGTTACTTTATGAGGTAAACATGCAAAAAGTAGACTTCTGCGGTTGATAGGCATTCTCAAAAGACATATATTTAATACTTTTAAGACTAAACTTCAATTAAAAACAGTACAGAATTACATATACAAATTTCACGTCATAGTGACATTCAAGAGAGCAAGAAAAAGGTCTAAAATAATTACAATGACAACTAATAAGATAATTATATTATTTTTGACATTCAAACAATGTAGCTCCCTTGTTAGACTTTTCTCAAGTGATGTTGTCCATTCCCAATCATCGTCGTCAGGGGAATCCACCGAACCGTTTGCCCAACGAAAGAAGTGACATTGTTCTGCGATGCTTTGTGGGTAGCTATAGAACTTTCTCCCGCAACTGTGTGGCAACGTGACGTCAACAGGGAAGTTTGGAGGCCACAGTGGCAGAGCAGTCGTCGAGATGTCCTAGAAATCCTTGAGTTCATGTTTTCCTGATTACAACAGTTAAAGAAACAACAACCAAATATTGTTAGTATGAAAAGAAAATTTACTACTACTAGGTAAGAATGAATAAATTAAATCGAAGGTATACATTATTTTTAATAAAGTTAGAGTTGATAACAGGTGATTAGGGATTGCTATAAGAAACTAGGAAACTGCTTAGATACAAACAAACCATCCTAAAGTGTCAAATAATCGAAGAATGGTCATTATTTTCACAGAAAATGCTTAGATACAAATTGAATTGAACCCAAAGCTGCAAGACAGGACTGCAAATGAGAGGAAAAAATTGACAGCAATGGTTGCTTAAAAATTTAAGTCATTCTAAAGTGTCAAATAATCATCAAACATGTCATTATTTTCTTGAAAATGCATCCAACTAATTTCCATCCTCTTGTGAAAAAAAACAAAACAAAATGTGGTTCAATTAGAGAGTAAAAAATTAACAAAAGATAGTAAAAATATTTACAACAAGTCTTTCAGTCCATCACTCATCGGGTGCATCAATTGTTTGCTTCAACGGATCTCACCCCAATCTTGTTGAGCCGCGTTTCAAGTCCTTCCAAATCTTCCAATCTTTCTTAAGTTGATCTCACTTATTCTTCAATTGCATTCTGTCTTACTCTTTGTCTGTGATTTTCTTGAAATTTTTTGTAATATTTTGTCACCCATCTTTGTTGAAGAAGGTAGTTCGCCTATTTCCCATTTCAATTTTTTTTGAGGCAAATATCACAAAATATTATTTTTTCCTTTTTTCCCACAAGGCTGATGTAACAATCTCTTTGGTCTTATTAGTCATTTTTTTTACTACAATGAAACATACAAATGCAACAATACTAAAAAAACAATGCCATAATAATACTTCGCATAGCCGAGCTTCCCAACAACGCTCTTAAGGAGTACCAACTGCAAGGAACTCCAGCAAATACAGGCAGTAGAAAATAGCTGATGCATGCAAACAAAATTATACATTTGTAAAAAGGCTAATTCCATGAATCAAGCTTAGGGCCTCCAAACTATACTAGAATCAACTTATAATCATTGCTCCAAGCCCATCCTTGACCCTAAAAAACCAACAGAAGTCCCATTCTTGCGAGGAAACATGGCACATTAAGCTATCATTTTTTTTAATTCAAACCATCTGTATTCTTCCATAAAACAATTCTAGATCTACAAAGATTCGCCTCTATTTCATCTCACAGATCACAAATATATATATATATATATATATATGAGAAGGAGAGGAGGAGGAAGCCGTCGGAGAAGAAGGCATACGAAGCGTGAGGTGCTCGTGAGAATTGGAGGAAGCTGATGGGTATCGTGAGCGCACACCGGAGAGGAGGAAGCCGTCAGAGAAGAGGATGAGAGGTGATCTTCGATCGCAAAAGCACCCATTTCGCAAACAGCTGTGGAGCAACTGTTTCTGAGAAAATGACCATGCTGCCCATTTGATAAAACTGTTTAAAAGAAGATTGTAACAATCTCATTTTTGAAACTTCAGAAGTAAAAAGTTTAATGTAACAAATTATTAAAACTTCAAAGAGTCCCGATAGTGCTAAATTTTTTGTTTGAAATAATTACACATCTGCAACACATTCTAATGTATTTACATATGTAAAACGTAAACTTTTATTTTTGGGGAAATTTGCATCAAATTTTTTGGATGTAATACGAAAGAGTGGTGCAACATTTAAGTGTTATATATGTAAATATATGAAATTAATTATTGTTATGCGTTAAATTTAAGGTTGATCGACAGCTTATCAAGATAAATTGTTTATCTAGATTACTTGGATAAGCTACAACTGCCTCAAACAAACCCTTAAAATTTGGTGGGGTTTATTTTTTGTATTAATATCTAGTTGATGTTATATATTTTTATTTGAGTTGTACTTCAATTTCTCTGGATCAGCGGCTAATCAAAGACTTATCAGGATAAGCTACTTATCTAGATTACTTGGATAAGCTACTGCTGCCCCAAACAAACCCTTAAAGTTTGTTAGGGTTTATTTTTTTATTGCTATCTAGTTCGATGTTATATATTTTTATTTGAGTTATATTTCAATTTTCTCCGGATCAGCGGTTGATCAACAACTTATCAGGATAAACTGTTTATCTAGATTACCTAGATAAGCTACAGCTGCTCCAAACAAACGCTTAAAGTTGATTGGGGTTTAGTTTTGTATTGCTATCTAGTTTGATGTTATATATTTTTATTTGAGTTGTATTTCAATTTTCTCGTGATCAGCAGCTGATCAACAATTTATAATGATAAGCTACTTATATAGATTACCTTGATAAGCTACAGCTGCCCCAAACAATCCCTTAAAATTTGTTGGGATTTATTTTCTGCATTGCTATCTAGTTCGATGTTATAGATTTGTTGTTGAATTGAACTTCAATTTTCTGTGTTGGTATGCCCTTCAACTTCTCCCAAAAGAAAAAAAAATAATAATAAATAAACATTAAAATAACTCTGTTCAACAATACACACACAAGCACCATTCTCCATGATATGAAACATCTCCGAAGCCGAACAGCCAGCCAGACAAACCTCACGAGGAATGGAGCATACCCCAGCCGCAGTAGCCGCCGCCGATGACGAAGTGGAGTTTGACTTTC